TTGGTGTCGTCCGCACCGCACTCAGCCAGTAAGCGCATCGGCCATCCCTATACAGGATCCGAACCCGCGGCGGGAGCACCGCTGCGCTCCCAGCGCTGCACTCTCCCGAGTGTGCCACGGGGTCGGCCCTTTGCATCTCTTTATAGGATTGTGGTTCCCTGTCTTATTTTTAGTTTTCAGAATAAATTAGATGTATAAAATATTTAAAGGGCTTTTATTTATTGGAGAATTACAAAGCTTGAAAGGTACATGAGAATTTAACCTACACCATGCCAGAGTAATTATTCAATTCATCATACCAAACAAACTATTGGCATTGTGTAGACTCAAAAGATATTACCTAAATTTTGTCTTGCAGTCATTTGGGGTTGTGTTTAACTCTCATTTGGCCTGAAGTTGAAAGTTTTTTGTTTGTTTTTTTCCTGCTAACTAGATTTTAAATTTTCATCAAGACTTTTTACTTAATTTTTTTTCTTTATTAACTTAGTACATGTTTCTTAGTATGCATTCTTTAGTGTGTTATCATGAAATGAAAGATTTGGGTGCTTGAAACTTGGAAATTTTTATGCCGTTTTAAACAGGGTATATTGCAAATCGTGAAAAATGAAAAAGCTAAAAGCTTTCCCCTTTTCTACCTCCCATTATAGATATAAGGAATAGTTGGGTGGTTGGGTACCTCACATAAGTTACGCTCACTTAGGCATGGATTTGATTCTCAAGGAGATCAGTTACCTTCATTCAGTTCTAATAGTCAACGCCTTCGTGCCAGCCAGGTGCCCTACAAATGCATGTGTTTCATCACAGTAGGGACTGAGTGGGTACAGTCTCTTCCGTAAGTGCTACTTGAAGAAACCCACTAAGCTCACCAATAGATCGTTTTGAAGTAAACAAGAGGGCATTTATGAAATGGTCTCAAGAAATTTAACGATGTCTCCTTCCACACAGAGGTACTAACAGTAGAAATAATTGTAAGAAAGTAGATTAAGGGGGCCGGCACTGCTATAGTGCGCCACTTGGGAAGCGCGGCAGCGCTCCTGCCAAGGGTTCGGATCCCACATACAGACCGGCCGCTCACTGGCTGAGCGAGGTGCGAGAGCAACACCGAGGGTTGCGATCCCGTTGCCGGTCCCGGTCCGGTACGGGCACAACACTGAGGGTTGCAATCCGTTGCCGGTCACGAAAAAAGACAAAAAAAAAAAAAAATTAACTATTTCATCTATATCTTTTTGAGTTTATCTATTTGAGTTTCCCAAAAAACTTAGATTGCCTTTTTTGTTTGCAGCTGGCCTGTAAGGAGATCCAAACACTTGACTTGGTGTTATCGGCACCACACTCTACCAAGCGAGCTATAGATTGCCTTATTATTAGGATATATGCAAATAGGCTTTTTTCAAATTAGAATAAAGTATATTCCTGCAAATGAAGACATACCATGCTATTATTTAGTATCGATGAACAGTCAAATTAACTTTGAAATGAAAATAACATCATTGTGTATAGTGTTCACTTTATCAAAGAAGCTTCAAATAAGACAAACGCTGTTTGGGTAGGTTTGGTGAGGATTGATCTATATAGTATATAGATATATAGTATAAATAACTTTAAATATAATACCTCAAATTAGAACCCTCTCCTTTATCCCATGCCCTGACATCAGTTGCCATTGGGCCATCCTTCTGCCTGGCATATGGGCTTCCTGGTCTGGATGACAATTGTTTTCTGGTTCAAAGAAAATGCTGGTTTGGGGGGGCTAGCTGGTTAGCTTAACTTGTTATAACACCAAGGTCAAGGGTTCAGATCCCAGTACTGGCCAGCCACCAAAAAAAGGAAAAAGGAAATGCTAGTTTTCACTGAGTATAAATGCAGACATCCAGTGATGTCTTCCCATTTCTTTTGCTTTTTGGTGTTCTTTTTACCTTTAGAAACCATGTGAGTATTTCTCATTCTAATGAGGTACAGGTAGTCCCAAATCATGCATTTTCTTGAAATATTTATACAGAAAAGTCAGTCTCTTCCCAAGTTCCTCAGTGAAGATATCACATTATTGAGAAAAGACTTCACTTTGAACGAGGACATGCTCCAAGGTGGAGATACATGAAGCATTGATTATAAAACAGGAGACACTTAAAAGTTTTCTAGCCTAGTTTTCTCTATGACAAAATAGACAAAAAGCATGCATATACTGTACCGTTGTCTCCCAAATTTCCCTACCAGGGAAATTTCCACCCAAATCAGAAGCAATTGCACCAACCTAAAGAGCTTTTCTCATGAAGAGGTGAAACCTTGTGAACTGCAGCATGTAAATTAAATGATAGGAATATGATTATTGCCTTTCATTAAAATAAACACAAGGAGATACATAAAAAATAGATAATAGGCTATAAACTGAAGCATGAGTTTCTGTTGGTGGGGATTTAGGTGCATGTAGTTTCCATGCAAATGAACTTTAGATGCTTCCCAATTCCACCTACTCTGGAGAATATAATGACACATAAAGGAAGTCATGTCTCTGTTATGGAATGAATTGTGGTCACCCCCCCCTTAAAATTCATATGTTAGAAGCCCTGACTCCTAATATGACTATTTAAAAATGGGGCCTTTAAAAAGGTAATTAAGGTTAAATGAGGTCATTGAGATGGGCCTTAATCCAAAATGACTGGTGGTGTTATAAGAAGAACAAATTAGGACACAGACATCATAGAAAAGCAACACGGATGAACTTAGAGAAAATTAAGTGAAATAAACCAGGCACAGAGAGATAATACTGTATGTGATTATGTTGCAAAGATCAAGAATAAACACCTATAAGATGCATTAGGTATATTATTATGCAAATGGATAATTTCCGTGGGTCTCTGTTATGGAATGAATTGTGGTCACCCCCCCCTTAAAATTCATATGTTAGAAGCCCTGACTCCTAATATGACTATTTAAAAATGGGGCCTTTAAAAAGGTAATTAAGGTTAAATGAGGTCATTGAGATGGGCCTTAATCCAAAATGACTGGTGGTGTTATAAGAAGAACAAATTAGGACACAGACATGTACATAGAAAAGCAACACGGATGAACTTAGAGAAAATTAAGTGAAATAAACCAGGCACAGAGAGAGAAATACCATGTCATCACCCATAAATGGAAGCTGGGGGAAAAAAAGGGAAAAAGATATAAGAATCACAATAATTTGCTGAATTTTCAAAAGGAGAGAACGGAATGGAACTGAGGCTACCAGAGGTGGGAAAGGGGGAAGGGGAGGGAGGGTTAGTGAGAAATTGATAAAGGGCCACAAAAAATGATTATATTGTGTAATAACAAATATAATAATCTTGAGGGAAAAAAACAAAAAAGACCATGTAAGACACAATGGGAAAGCAGCCATCTGCAAGCCAGGAAGAGAGGCTTCAGGAGAAACCAAGTCTGCTGCCATCTTGATCTTGAACTTCAGCCTTGAGAACTGTGAGAAAATAAATTTCTGTTGTCTAAGCCACCCAGTCTGTGCTACTGTGCTATGGCAGCTTTAGCAGACTAAAAGAGCATCCTATACACTGATTCAGATGGTGGAGTATCCCAAATGAGACGGAAGTTCAGATGATTTTTCCCTAGAAATGTTCTAGACGATTCAGAGTGGAACTAGTGATGAGAAGACAGTGGCAAAGATGACTGTGAAGAGCTGATTGAAATTGTTCTATAAAATAAGCAATGTCTTAAAAATAACATTTTTAAATATCAAAAATTAACATTTAGGGCTGGCCAGCCAGCTCAGTTGGTTAGAGCACGATGTAACAACAAGGTCAAGGCTTCAGATTATCATACCGGCCAGCCACACACACACACACAAAAGTTAACTTTTAACTATTTCATCTATATCTTTTTGAGTTTATCTATTTGAGTTTCCCAAAAAACTTAGATTGCCTTTTTTGTTTGCAGCTGGCCTGTAAGGAGATCCAAACACTTGACTTGGTGTTATCGGCACCACACTCTACCAAGCGAGCTATAGATTGCCTTATTATTAGGATATATGCAAATAGGCTTTTTTCAAATTAGAATAAAGTATATTCCTGCAAATGAAGACATACCATGCTATTATTTAGTATCGATGAACAGTCAAATTAACTTTGAAATGAAAATAACATCATTGTGTATAGTGTTCACTTTATCAAAGAAGCTTCAAATAAGACAAACGCTGTTTGGGTAGGTTTGGTGAGGATTGATCTATATAGTATATAGATATATAGTATAAATAACTTTAAATATAATACCTCAAATTAGAACCCTCTCCTTTATCCCATGCCCTGACATCAGTTGCCATTGGGCCATCCTTCTGCCTGGCATATGGGCTTCCTGGTCTGGATGACAATTGTTTTCTGGTTCAAAGAAAATGCTGGTTTGGGGGGGCTAGCTGGTTAGCTTAACTTGTTATAACACCAAGGTCAAGGGTTCAGATCCCAGTACTGGCCAGCCACCAAAAAAAGGAAAAAGGAAATGCTAGTTTTCACTGAGTATAAATGCAGACATCCAGTGATGTCTTCCCATTTCTTTTGCTTTTTGGTGTTCTTTTTACCTTTAGAAACCATGTGAGTATTTCTCATTCTAATGAGGTACAGGTAGTCCCAAATCATGCATTTTCTTGAAATATTTATACAGAAAAGTCAGTCTCTTCCCAAGTTCCTCAGTGAAGATATCACATTATTGAGAAAAGACTTCACTTTGAACGAGGACATGCTCCAAGGTGGAGATACATGAAGCATTGATTATAAAACAGGAGACACTTAAAAGTTTTCTAGCCTAGTTTTCTCTATGACAAAATAGACAAAAAGCATGCATATACTGTACCGTTGTCTCCCAAATTTCCCTACCAGGGAAATTTCCACCCAAATCAGAAGCAATTGCACCAACCTAAAGAGCTTTTCTCATGAAGAGGTGAAACCTTGTGAACTGCAGCATGTAAATTAAATGATAGGAATATGATTATTGCCTTTCATTAAAATAAACACAAGGAGATACATAAAAAATAGATAATAGGCTATAAACTGAAGCATGAGTTTCTGTTGGTGGGGATTTAGGTGCATGTAGTTTCCATGCAAATGAACTTTAGATGCTTCCCAATTCCACCTACTCTGGAGAATATAATGACACATAAAGGAAGTCATTCATGTGATAGCATCTAGAGTCTAAAGAGAGGTGGAATTACAATGTGCCTACAACTCTGGTAGTGTGCTTTCCCAGGGGATCTGGGTTACATCTAATACCAGTTGCTACATTGTTACATTCCTGCAGCACCTAGTATAATGCTGTGTATTCAAAAGATAGTTAATAAGTGCAAATTAAACCAGTCAGTAAGAGTCTTGTCAATACAGCTGTAGCTTTGGAAAGCTGGAGAAGGGAAAGTGAAAACATGGGTGGGTATTGGGAATTTTTTTTTTCACTATAACCTTAAATTCTTTTTCATTATACAGATATTTCTGTAGTGCATACCATAAAGAATGTAAAAGTTATAGAATTAGGGTATCTATGAGAAAATAGACCAGTATATTAAATTGAATAAAATGTATGCTGCTGGAAAAATGATCCTGGAGTATTTGTCAATGGCGTGGGTGTCAATCCTCATGCTCATGTAGCTGCTTCTGTGACTTTTCCTCTGGGGGGAGCACCTCTCCGAGGCCAGGGTCAGTTGCACCATCATCCTGTCGGGCTTCTCTCCGTTCTCCGTCATGTAGTTGCCCAGGTCGTTCACCTCCCCGTCGCTGTAGCTGCCATCTAGCTGTGGTGTGGGCTGAGATAACCCACAGGTGCAGGGAGGCTGCGAACACAGCAAATGCACATTGGGATGTGCCCCTTGGTGTCATCTCTCAGAACCCTTCAAAACACCTGCAGAGTGGAGGGTGTTGCCTTTTTCTAGTTTCTTTTATTCCCAGTTTGGGGAGGGGAGAGTAGAAAAATAATGGTGGTGTCCCAGTAAACATTCTCAAATAGCAGGTATCCATTTTATTGAACTAAAGTTTACAAATCGACTCTTAGGAAATATCTCAATGTCATACCAGGGACTAATAAGAATGTTTGTGGTTAGATAAATCACCTTGTTCTTCATGAGAACCTAAACTGGTACGAGCCCTGATAAAAATTTATAGATCTCGTTATTACGCATGTGTGTTTGTCATAGGGATGGGATTCGGAAAGGTGCAGCCTTGTGGAGGTAGATTACTACTACATGGTTAGAGTCTTCTGGAGGAGATAACCATTGAGCTGCAGACTGGAGGAAGAAAGGAAAGCCAGGTGCGAGGGGAGATGACCTGGGAAATGATGGGAGGTGTATGAGGTCACATATGAAGGAAAATGTCCTAGAACGGGGGATGTTCTTCCCTGGAGTGTTCCTTTATTACATGTCTATGTTCATGAAAAATTTGTTCCACCATGCAAAGTTGTCATTTATTTTTCTCCTGGGATTCCCTCACTAAACTATGAACACCACCAAGATTAAAGGGACCATGTCTTAGTTGAGTTGGCTTAGCGGCTCCTGGTATATGGTAGGTGCTAAATAAATGTTTCAATGAAAGAATACATCCTTCTTTCATTGAAAGAAGTAGCCCAGAGTAACTTTCACTCTGTCTTCGCATACGTCATTTTGTGTGATCTTCACAACTCAGAGAAGTGGGCAGAGGAGGGGGTCTCATGACCTGAGCTTACAGAGACGGTCTGACCAGGCTCCATCCCACCCAGACACTTTAAGCCCATGGTAAGGTCACCTTCTCCCGCAGCTTCCGCTCCTTGCGCTCCTGCACCGTGGTCAGGTAGTTGACCGCTGCATACTCCAGCACCGAGAGGAACACGAACACGAAGCTGACCCAGAGGTAGATGTCCACGGCCTTGATGTAGGACACGCGGGGCATGGAGGCGTTCACGCCCGTGATGATGGTGGACATGGTCAGCACCGTCGTGATGCCTGCAAGCAGACACTGAGTGAGTAAAAAGCATTTGTCTTTCACCAAACCCTGGGTGGCTTCGTGCCTCTACTGCTTTGTCTGTACTGTTCCCCCTGCCTAGAATGTCTGCACCCCGCCCTCTGTCTAGCAAACACTACTCATCTTTCAAGACTTAGCTTTTACAAAGCTTTTCCTGTCCCTTAACCCCTCATCCCCATCCTTTCCCCTCTGTATATTCTGTGCATTCATCACAGCCTCTGAATCACTGTACCTTCTGTAGAGAACCCCAGACATTTTGGCATTAAGACATTTATTTCAATTCAATTATTTAAAAATAAGAGATTGCATATATGAGCAGGTATATATGTTTCTTGTAACTACTACTCCATCAAGGGGGAAAAAGTGTACCAGGTTTAATGTTGTATCCTGGCAGCTGTTGTCCAGTCCTACAGTCCATTATCAGAGGTCAGGATGCCTCTGGCAGCCACTGCCAAGCTGGGCCTGTCTGCCCTTTTAGCAATGTTGACACATGAAAATTCAGAGGTCAGTTTTACCAAAGTCATTTATAGGAGACAGATTTTAAAACTAGAATTTATATTTGGCACAGTGACTGTTCAAGCTACAGAACAACTGATAGAGAACAGGGCATCTGTCTGTGGAAATCTGCCTGGGATTTCAGATTAAGCTCAGAACATTTGTTCAGCAAACATCAAATCACAGGGATTGGGGTCATCCTCAGGAACAGCTGCAATCCAGTTTCACTAAAACCTGGTGGGTCACACACTGTCTTGCAGCCCCCGAACCGTCTGAGCAGTGGTGGTATGTGTGAGTAAGTGGGTACTATACTGAAAGGGAGGAAGACAGTTGATGGCAAATAGCTATTGATGGAATGCTTACAGAGTAGGGATTCTCAGACTTGAGAATGTGTAAGAACTACTGGGAGAAGTTATTTAAAAGGCAGGTTCCTGGTCCTCACTCAGAAATTCTGATTCTATAGATGTAGATGGAACCCAGGAGTCTTTGTTTTTAACAATTTCACTTAGAAATTCTATTGCAAAGATCCCTTGGACCACCTTTGGAGAAATCTTGTTATAAAATATGATTTCTTATGCAGGTAAGCGGAGAAAGCACCCACAGACCAGGATCACCCACCCTAGAACACAGCTCTAAAAAGAATAAAGGTGGGCTGCTTGGATGGGTTCCTGCAGGAACCCAGAGACAGTTTTGCTACAGGGATTCTTAATGATGGGATTCTACTAGTGAATAAATAATTTGTAGTTCTTCCAAGTCAAAATACCAAAAGGGGTACAGAACCAATGTGAAAAGAAATGTTTTATC